TATATATATATGTGTGTGTATGGGTGTGTATATATATATATACACCTATATATACCATATATATACCTATCCACGTATAATTTTTTCTCATATGCTAGCATTTTCTTCATTTACTTAGTAAATGTGTTCATGCTTTTTATGAGCATAAAATTCGAGCTTTCATTATGTATTGTCATAACTAATACATAACACAGTGCAATTAGAAAGAATTGTTTCAAATTGAAAACTGCTGTCTGTGGTAAAAATAAGACTTAGTGTTATCACAAACCAGGTGGGACCAGCAAACTAATTCCTTGTGATAAAGTTTGTGAAAGGAGTGGAGGGGTGGAGTGGAGATTTATCCAATTGTCCTCCAGTGCAAAAGAAGACAACTTAGTAAGCATTCGAATTTTGGTTGGAAACTGTTAATCATGTCACTGAAAACAGACTGTTGTGTAAGCTAGTCAAAGTGATTACCATCCTTGTCAGCGTTCCCTCTAAGAACCCAACTTTTAGAACACTTCTAAAACTGTAATGTCTGCTTGACTCCACTGAGTAGATGCTGGCATAAATTGCTTGGAATTCCATTTTTTTCAGAGGTTTAGAGAAGGGAGTTATTAAAAAAAAAAAAGTGTGATTTTGCCAGATAACAGCAGTATCAATGTGCCCTGTGCTATATACTTCACATGTATACTGCATGGACTTCAGAGAGAAGTCATAAATGTTAGTGTTAGTGTGTCAGGTTTGGAAGAAGTCACTTAACACTTTTGCTGTTGAAAGAAACTAGAACATTCACAGAGTTAGCTAATAACACTATATACTGCTCACATATTGTTTTCAATTTTCTTCTTTCACTATGCTGCCTCTAACTGTCGTAAGTTACTTTTTTTCTTATTATTTGACTGCTTTCTCAAAAGTCTTCAAACATAACTCACCAAACTCGTTGTGAAATCTTTTCTGCAGGTTTCTGCAAATGATCCATGCTTATGTGCCTCTTTCATGGGGCTGAAACCTACTACTACCAGAAACCATCTTGTACGAGCTATCCTGGAATCTGTAGCTTTCAGGTAATTCCTTGCTTAACGTTATCACACTTGGTTTTGTTTTAACCAGCAGTATTAAATACATATGTTTACTTCCACAGTTTGTAAAATACAAATTGTAGTCATCCACTGTAGTAATGTTGAAAAGGAATTTCGGCTGCCTCTTCTGTTCTTTTGAGTACATTACAAATAAACCTGCATATATTTATTAGTTTAGAGTTTTTTGTTCTGAAGTTGCCACGTAGAGATTCTTAAATCATACTGTTTTTTGACAAATTCTAAAAATATTTTGTTGAAAATGTGTCTTTACTTTCCTGACAGTGTTTTGTCAGAAGCTGCACTCATATTTGCTCTTTGTCTGAAGTTTGAATCTTGGTGTTTTATAAAATGGAGTAATAGGTACCTTAGATATGGTGAAATATTTGGATAGACAAGAACTTACCAATCTAACAGTCAAGGCTGAAAATATTGCAATTAGTCACTGATATTATCATGTATCTAGCTCACTGTGAAACATATTGTTCTGCCTTGCAATGCCAGCCAGCATGACTGGAACTGGATGTAGATACAGTTTGAGGGTAGTGTGTCTGGAGAAGGTGACAACGTTCTGAATCGCTGCCGCTGTCTCAAATGCAGTTTTTTCTTCCCTGTAAGAGAAACTTTGAGATGCAGTAATTCCTGAACTGAAGCCTGCATCTCTTAAAAGAGTGGAGAGCCTTTGTGTTTAGGGTTCAGAACAAGTCAGACTTAGAGCTTTCAGATGTTCCCTTTAAAGAACAGTTGGAGAAATTTCAGTTGACACTTCTGTCAGTGCGTTTTCATCACTCTAAACCACTTCTTGTATCAGCAGTTCCATTTTGTCTATGAAAGCTTGTAATCATTTTTAGCAGGGAATAAATGTGCATTCCATGGTGCCACGCATTGCAGTAAAATGGGTTGTGGTTTAGCTATATCTGTGTGTTTTTAGTGGTATGATACTGAATTTCACAGTGCTTTTGTTTTGTTTTTTTTTTTTCCTTAAGCATTCTGGAAGCTTGTTAACTATGCAGTGGTTTTGACCCAACTGAGGCATTTTTTGCCTTGTATTTTATTTTCTGACTGTGTAGATACTGGAAGCACTTTATGGAATTCATACTTCTTAATGGAACTAATTTTTTTATTTTTTTATTTTTTTTCAGAAACAAACAGCTTTTTGATATCATTGTGAAGAAAGTACGCATTCCTCTTCAAACTGTTCGGTAAGTTCCTTGCAGCTTCAGTTAGATATGTGAGAGTTTGATATAAACAGGTGTAAACTTAATCATGTATTTTATCTTAGTGTAAGAATTCTGCTGCTGAGAAATGGACTATTACCAATTAAAATGCTGATGTAACTTCAAAATTGGCACAGAGGGGTCATTTATTAATAAATGATTGGCACTGGTGGTTCTCAGAAGACAGTAAGGACTTGCACTAATTTAAAAAATTAAGATGAAATAATTCTCATGCAGCATTAGAATACATATAGCAATGCCTGTTACAAAAATCATCCTACCCTTTATAATAAAATCGTTTTGTAATGGAACTTTTTATGTGGGGTCTGTCACAGAGTGATTGTTTTCTGAAGCCTTAGTTAAAACTGGACCTGTTTTTGAAGTGTAAGAGGAAGAATGTTTTTACATTTCAAATGTAAAGACGTTGGCTTGTTTCAGTCTTTTAAGAAGTAAATCCAGTTTAGTGAGGCAATAGTAGAATAGGCTGGAATAGGCTAATCACAACTTCTTGGAAAAATTTAGCAGAATTCTGTTCTGGAAAACTACCCTGCTCATTTTAGTAGGTACTTAGTCTGTACATACTCATTACTCTAGAGCCTCCAGCCCGCTGTGCTGAGAAAAGCCTTCCCAAAGTTCTCCTTCTGACAGGCAGGGGTCATTGCAGTGTCACAATCAAAAACAGTGAAGAGACTTTCTGTCACTTTCCGTGGGTGGAAAACCCATGCAAAGGGAGAAGTAGACTGGCAGGCATGTGGACAGATGAGAAATGAGAATTTTGAATGGTGGAAGGAAGGTGAAAGTACAAAGGTAGGGGAAGGTACAAGTTGATGTGTTCCATTGCATGGAACTGAGTAGGTGAAGATACAGAAACAGCTAGGCATAGTGCAGTAGTGCTGGGTAGCAGTGATTCCTTAGGAAATTCTGATCTTGTTTATGGTATGATGTAAACTTTAAATTGTGTGATTGTATTTTGTTTTATTCCTTATTATAAAGTTATTGTTTCATATAGTGACTATAATACAGTTTGCTAATATCGGTAGAAATTTAGCTTGTGGATCAAGGGTTAGAAGATAATGACATACCCTTCATGGCTTTTTCTGTAGAGTGTACATTTTACTCCCTTTCTTTTGTCCTCTTTACTAACAATCCGTTACTTCTGAATCTTGTTTTATCCTGCCTTGAGGTTACTTACCCTCTGTATGTTCATTCCTTTTTTAGCTACTGTCCCATATCCTTTGTTCCCAGCCTCTGCCTCCTACAAGCTCCTAAAAAGGTGTTGTTTTAATTAGTCTTATATATTCCTATTACTGCTTGTTGCTTGTCTCAATGCCATCAAGGAAAGCACCGAGAAGGCTGTTGTGTTCTGTGTTCCAGCAGTCCGCAGTGGCCTCTACAAGGATGGTCCTGGTGCTCTGTGGAGTACTGGAGTGCAGCCTGTTCAGTTGTTGTGAAGTAATTGCACATCGTGGTGTCATGGCATAAAGGAACGTTTTGCTAGAATATGTACTGAAGAGGTTGAATGTTCAGCATATCTAGCAGCAAAGCTATATAAAACAGTATTTGCAAACTTTATTTTATTTTCCTATCTTGTAGCTTGAATCAAATGAGTGTTTTATTTTTACAGAACAAGGAAAATGCATGTGACTGATAGTAAGATACTGACTTTGCAGGTAGCATTTTTTTATTCCGTAGTATAGAGGTTGAAATCCAGTTTAATTGTGTGTACAGATCAGTAAAATGCTGTTAACCTCACCAATCAGGCAGTATTTCAACATTATTAAACATCCAAAATCTGCGAAAATTTTCTTGAGGCATTTTCTTGTGATATAGAACATTCCAGCTGATGCATTTGAATTAGTGACATTTTCTAAGCAGCTGAAGGGTTTTGTTACCCAATACTTTTTCTGAAAATCCATTTGTGCGTAAGTAATGGAAAGATCTGTGCAAGGGTGTGAAACCTCAGGATTTGTTTTGTGAAACATTGGTAAATAAGTATTAGAACTAAACACTTTTATTTTTCTTTTAATCTTCTCCTCTCCTTGTAGAGCTGACGGAGGTGTCAGTAATAACAGTTTTGTCATGCAGATGACTTCAGATTTGATTAATAAGAAAATAGAAAAGCCTTCAAATACAGATATGTCTAGTCTTGGTGCAGCTTTTCTTGCAGGTCTTGCATCAGGTATGTATACAAATACATCTAAAATTCATGTTTTCCCTGACAATATGTATGTTTGTAGATAAGGAAATATCATCAGGAAAAGAAACTATAACAAAAAACAACAACATTGTAGACTTAATTGTAAAATGTCCACAATTACTTCACCCACTTTTATGGGAAGCTGCAGTAAAAAGTGTTCGCTTTTGTACAGTCCTTTTTATCCATGTGCTTGTTGTGTTTGATGGACCAAAGAATGGGTGATAGGGCCATACATAAATAAGGACCATATTTGTATTTTTATCACAATGTCCCAATATGCTGAGCAGTTTTATCCTTGGGTTTTACATAAATGAATAGCAACAGGAAGCTTGGCATGAAAAATATCTGCATATAGGCTTTAGTGTTTATTTGCATTTAGAAGGACACACTGCTAGAGACGAGAGGTGAACCCTCTCTTCTTTGCTCCCTCTCTTTTCCTTGACCTGGACACTACAAGTCGCTTTCCATTTTCATACTGTGTGAAGCAGTGCTTGGTGTGCATGGATCATGTGAGAAGGTGGCTGCCTTGCTCATGTTCAGCACTGTGAAGCTGTATCCTGTCATCTCTGAACTGAGTCTTGATTCTTTGAGATTTTCACAGACATGAGTACAGTGGAATTACAGAACAGATGAATGAGGGCGGAGGGGAATCCAGCTTTACTCGGAAAGAACTGGCTTATATAATTAACCTGACTTTAAACTACAAATTGTCAGTGGTTCCTAATGGAAATTCTGCATTTTGTAGAAGGATACCTCACTAAATTGCTTTGATATGTAAATAACATAACTAAGATAAAATCACATGCTCAGGTAAGGCTTATCCAGCCATTAAAACTGAAAAAAGGTCCTTTGACAGACAAGAACGATTCAATACCATAAATTAATTTGAATATGTAACAGCAGCTATTTTCTTTATGCCTTTTTTAGGGCATGAGGAAAGGCAATAGTGCCAAGTTTTGGCTTCTGTGGCCTCTCTTCATTTAGAGGGACCTGCAACTGAAGGCATAGTGTTGATGAAATTTAAGTGAACTTCAGTCTTCCAGAGCTGTTCCTTGGAAACTATCCCAGTTAAGCAGATGTGCTGTTGTCAGCATTCCAAACGAGTGGATGCTATTGGAAAGCAGTTTCACAATGTAAAAAAAAATATGCTTCCTTCTGAGAAAGTTGTTGGTTAAGTAAAGAAAAGCTGTCATGATTTCTTATTGTGTTTCTGGTTTGGATCTCTTGTAAGTAAATTAAAGCAACTCAAAAATAACATATTTGTAGTTGAGCCTGAGAATGAACTTTCTGTTTATAGGACTTTGGACTGACAAAGAACAGCTAAAGAAGCTGAGGCGAATAGAAACAGTTTTTGAGCCTCAGAAGGATGAGGAGGAATACAAACCTGCTATGGACACCTGGATGCAAGCGGTGAAGTGCTCCTTGCACTGGTAGAAATTGACATTTTGGAGACAGAAGGAATCAAATTATAAGATTTGGTAGTTAACAGAATGGTTAAAATTGTAACTGAAATTTGTGATGGTATACAAAAGTTATAAGGTCCTTTGGTAACCTTTGTGCTGTTGGAGAACTTACCACTCCACAATGAACCTTCGTATCATCCTCACACCAGCTGTAGTCCAGATGCAGCATTTGTGTCCCTTCAGTGACCCCCTTTGGGTGGCCCAACTGCTTGAAACCATACTTTATATGTTGGGAGTTTTTTCCTATGATGTGTTTTGTACTGAGGAACTCATCTCTCATCTGATCTTTAAAAGCTTTGATATGTTAACCATCAAGGAATCTAAAAAGGGACATGCACTTCCCTAGGTATTTCGAAGAAAAAAAAAATTATTTAGGAAATTATGGGAAATTGTTTGCCTGTTACCACATTTTGATTGACTTTTTAAGGAAGCATTTGACCCAGCTGTCTGATGGCATTTTTGTGATGCCTCGGGATTATCACAAAATTAAGATGAGAAACAAAAGCAAATATGCTTTCAAAACTCCTTAAAAGATGCTTCTTCCCAGGACTTTTGTAGCTGATGTTTACTACCTATCTAGTTTGTAGCTACATTTTTTAAATTTTATGAAGACAAAAACTGCATTATATGGCATGATTAATATGAATGTTAGCATACCTGTAACTGCATTTAACTTGTAAAAAGTCTGTAATATTTTCAAGCCCATCATTACATCCTATTATTATTGGGAAAAACAGGGTTGAAAGTCTATTTTTGAAGTTACTACTTTTACATTTGCAAAATAAACTGTAATTAAAGAAACATGTAGCTAATTTGTTCATCACTAATCTTAAATTATTACAAGTTTCTCAGGGCTACAAGTAAATCAGTTTCAGATTATAATTTCCTACTTCAGAAAATGTTACTGGCAAGAATGCTCTCCCAGACCAAAAAGAGAAGGGTATCATTCTAAGATTGTGAACAGAAGATGGTGGCCTTACTTGTAGTTATTCTGCACTTCATTCTCATTGAAGGAGTTTAATTAACCAAAGTCTGCCTAATGTCCACCTATGACCCCTTTCATGACATCTCATGGCTTGTGTTCATTTTGTACTGTGGTTTTCTAGGCTTGACTGTGGAACCCATACTCTGTCCCCAAATAGATATATAATGGGAGCTGAATCTGATTCTGTTGATGCCATTTGCTTGAAAATAGCTAGCTGTGTGCCTTATTTGCACCTTTTCATTGTGGTGATTTTCATCCTGACCATAGTACAGCCAAAATACATGCAATTTTGCATTTGGTACCAGGTCAGTTTAATAGTAAATGTAATGATATAAAATGAAGTTAATGTTGCTAATTTTAGCACTGTCATTTTAAGAAATGTACCACGTTGAGACTGCAGATATTTTACTTTAGGATTGGGCAGTAATGGACCTCATCAGTCATGTGAAGATCAGGAATTCAGCTGAGAGATGTGTTAATGATCCTTGTGCATCCTGCCATCACTGATGCATGTGGTGCTGATGGTAGGTCTGCCTAATTGGGTTGCAGCTATTATCCATGATGATACATAGTCTCATATTTTAGAATCTCAGAATATCACAACTTGGAAGGGACTCATGAGGATCTCCAACTCCTAATACTTGGGACAACATGGCATAAAAAGTTAAAGGGTTGGTGAGATCTCAGAGCTGTTGGATTAATAATGTAAGTAGAAAGGAAAGAAAAACAATCTTCAAACAATTGAAAATACTCTCAGCAGATGCAGTGTGAGTTTTCTTAAGAAACAATCCAGTCACTGATGTATAAAATCTCAGTGTAATTAGCTTTGCCACCATTTTTAAAAATATTTTCTTCTCTCCTTTAGCGATTAATTTTATGAAAAATTCTCTCACCTGTTTTTGACAAGAATGTTCATGCATGCTCTCCTGTTGAAGGAAATTAGAAAAGCAAAATAATGAATTGCTGTTCCAGTCTGCTAGCTTCTTTTTGTTGTGGTCTGTGTAGCAAGATCCTTCAGCTAGTGCCATGTACTCATCTCAGGGAGCAGCTTGGACTCACCATTTGAACAGCAGCCTTGTGAAAATAAGGTAAGAACCATTTCTTACCAGTCAGTGGAGCATGAAATACAGATAGGTTTTTTTAAATGTTGGTTTTGTTGTTTTTTTTCCTCTTACTGTTCCAAGCCCAGAGGTACAGGCAAAGTTGTCATTTTGTCTTCAGCCAAACAGATGTGTTGGTACTGCAGTCAGAGTATGGAGGTGTTCTGACCCAGAGGTTGGGCCACATTCTAGTTTGAGGTTTTACAGTGAGACAAACAAGTTCAGCTCACTGTTCAGGGGAAATGATGGGTGTGGGGGTAATGGATTAGTGTTGGTATGGCAGCGCAGGTTGGGGCTCGCAAAGCATTGAAATCAGCAAACAGTGCAAAGTAATGTGTTATGAAAAGGGAAAGGGGGAGATGATCTGGAAACAACCAGCCATGGGGAGCACAGTGTTGTGGTGAGGCTTTGAGACTCCCGACCATCTCCAGAGAGCAGCATCAGAGCTTCCTAAGTGTGGATCTTGAAGAAATCGCTAATCCCCATGCCTTTGTAGAACTAAGGGACCAGTTACAGCCAAATTTTCAGTGTGGATCTCAGACTGAGTTTGGGATTTATGTAAGTTCTGAGTACAGGTCGGTTTAGAACCTTACAGAAGTAGTAACACTCATTGCAAACTGATCGTTTCAGCAGCTTCAGGCTGAGCATTGTGTGTGCATACAAAGCTCATTCTGTAGGTGGCTGAAAGCCAGTGTTGACTATGGCAGTCACCGTCCATCTCCTTTCCACAATGGTTAAATGCCTTTTTCGTGTTTGTAATCATAGCATCTGACATAAGCCTTGCATAAAAATAACCAAATGAACTAAAAAGATCATTTTGAGACATAAATGACTTTATTGAGGTGGTATTTGACTTCAGGTCTGGGTTTAGCACGTGGAATGTAGGAGGAGTGCAGGAAGCCAGGCACCCCAGCTCGCTTCTGCCCTTTCTTTCTTCTCCATAGCGGGGCCTGCTGCAGTGCCTCTGTGCCGCCTGGGGCCTTGGCAGCTGGGCAAGGGGAGCGCTCCATTTTGCGTATGGTTTTTTAATGCTTTCATGTAAGTTTCTTACGCAACTGCAAGTATTGATAAAGGTCTTGTTGCATGTGACAGTATTTCGTAGAGGATGAAAAGAAACAGAAAGCACACGGTCAGCACATTCCTGGGCCTGTGATTAATAACCAGCTGTGAGCCGTCCCACGGAAATAAACAGACGGTTCTCGTTCCTTAGTTTAGGATCCCTGTTTTACAGCCTGCTTCTGCTGTTTATTTTTTTGTTGTGCCTGTAAAGCGGGACCAACCCCAGTTCCGTGTTTGCGTGCTCTATGACCGTTGCGCGGCTCCGGTTCCGCGCGGCACGGCGGTGTTCGCTGCAGCCCCGCCTGCTGCCTGCGCGTGCGGCGCCGCACCGTATCGTTGCCGCCGCTCTTCGGCTCCCGTCAGCGCTTCCCGTTAGCGTTCGCTGAGTGTGACCGGCAGGCAGCCCCAACTTCGAGGCGCTTCCCGTCGCGGGAGCGGCCGCCGGCAGGGGGGGCGGGCCTGGCCGGGCCGAGCCCCGCAGAACGGGCCCCCCTGTCGGCCCCCGCGGGGCGCGGCGCCAGACACGGCCGCGGACGCCCGGGCAGGAGGCGGCCCGCGCCCCGCCCTTCCGCCCCGCCCCCCCCTCGCAGAGATCCCTCGGATTGGCGGGCGGCGTGTGTACACACACGAGGCGCGGCCAATGGCGCGCCGAAGGCGCCCGACCTCGCGCGAGGCGGCGGCCAATGGGAGCAGCCGCTCGCCAGACGCCGCCAAGCTTGTGCGGGGGAGAAGGACCCGGGCAGAGCGCGGCGCGGCGGCGGCGCGAGGCGGCGGTGGGGCCGCGCGGGGCGGGGTGCGGCGGCGGCGGCCGAGCTGGAGGTGCGG